GACATATCTGTGCTCTACGGAGCTTTCGCTGTACTGCTTTCTTTCCCCACTCTGCTGTTGATCTGTGAGTGTCTTGAAACAAGATGCCCCTTTCCTCAGTTTCTCCAGTTATAGAACATTCTCCTTACAATGTTTTGTGTGTTTTACGAATGAGAACATATGTTTTGAGAACAGAGAGTGGACACGTAGCTACCCAGAGCTGCACATAAATCCATGAAGACTATCTCATTCCCATTTTAGGAGGATTTCAGAAAGAGACAACATCATAAAGATTTCTGGAAACAGAAGTAAGTAAAGTTCTAAGAGAATCTGCTGAAATACATGTTCTTGTCATCTCCCTCCCTACATTTCAGTGTTCCTTTCATGTCCAGCACTTCTGCTTTAACTCCTTAGTCTTTTGCCAAGACGCAGCTTTACTTAAATATTATGAAAGTTAGATCCATGAAGAAACAAGTGGTCATTTCCTGCCTTTACATTCCCTTTCAAGTAAAGCACAGAGATGGCAAACATTGGCTACTACAAAAGCTTTACTTAAGAGCACCAGAAGCATCTTAGCTTTCAGATGTTCAAAAAACATCCCACGGAAAGAACAAAATACAGAGACTAACTGAGAAACTGAAATATTGGCGTGATGACAGTAAGTTCTTAAAAGAGTAAAGAAACTTTGTCTCACCAGATAATTCTTTCACATTGCTATTCCTTGCTTGCCATTCCTACCACTGCTAATGCTACCCAGAAAGACTTCTTGTCACTCCACCAGAAACACCCACTCTTTTTATCACACTATCCACAGTACTCTTGGCTTTACAGACAAATGGCAATAAACTCCATTAGCCAAGGGAACAGTCACTGTTTATCACTAATATTAAGGACCTTGACACTGTACTTTACTGAGTGAAAGATCCTGATGAGATATTTTAAATCTAACATGATTCTTTAAAGGTCCAGGTCTCCAAATTTGGATGGAAATTTCTCACAGCTACTAATAGCTGCAGCTTTTTTTTTTTTTTTTTTTTTACAACTGCTTATTAGGAAGGTGAAGATAACTGTATCCACTATATATGCCCACTCGTGTAAAAAAGCACATGCAAAACTCAAAAGTGATTAAGATCCTATCTCTATCAAGTTGTTGTTTCTAGTTCATCTGTAGACCGATTCCCAATGTCTACAGCAATGAATAAAATGGGAAAAGCTACAGATTTGATGCAAACCTGTAACATCACATTCTGTATCTTTTGACATTTGTAGACCTCTGTCTTTGTATGCACTGTGAAATTAATGAGTTATATCACACTCAGTGGCAGAAATATTAAAATGGTGTTTACGTAATATAAACAGAGTGTCACAGACCAACTGCTTATATGGTAAAAAACTGATTTGCATTCAGAAAAGCAAAACTCAAAACATATATAATCTATGTGAAATTCGACTTGCAATTTTGTGTTTAAATATGAGTACAATAATTTAAGTTTATGAAGTCTGAAAATAAAATTTGCACTGTATTTACAATCTGTCATCACTAAAACAAAAGACACATTATGATGATAAACGACCACAAACCCTGTAACATCGAATTTTGACTTTATTACTTCCTGAATTTCTTAATTCTTTAATTGCCTCTAGTTCAGGAAAGACAATTAATTCAGAGAACTCTAACAGCTAATCATTGGTTAAATAAATTTAAAAGGAAAATGTCTTTCCCTGGAGAGACCACTGCTCATTTTAATTAAAATTAACATTTTGTGACGTAACGCAAATAAAGATTATTGTATCCTTCTGCTCCAACAACATATTAACTTTTTAACCACCTAGGGAGATAATTCATGGTTTAAATTGCCAAGGAAATTATTTGCATCATACAAACTAATTTTAGTGAACTAGGCCTTTTTATTCATTTTCAATATATAATCTGCATTAGTTTATGAAGAAATACTGAAACACTGTATGTGTAAAATGGTAGTGGACACAAATTTTTATCTTAAGAGACTGGACAAAGATATCTATGGTGTAGCTGTCAAAGATAAATTCAGCTGCACAAGCATTCACAACCGAAGTAGGGAGTGATCTCTTCAAATCCAGTATTTTTTTTGAACATAGAACACAGGTGAAAGAACATTTTTTAGGAGGCACTTTCCCACAATTAATGCAATTGTTGACACAGCTTTATAGGAAGGTAAATATTATCAATACGTACATCAAAAACAAACAGAAAATTGTCTCTCATATTATGAGTATACCTACCAAGACGCATAGGCATACATGGAGTTTTACTGACCTATTTAAAAATGTGTGTGTGCTGTGCAGTGTATATTTCAGTACATACTTACTACAAAAGTGGGCTTCTGCCAGAGGGGTGTAGCTGATGTTTTACAACAAAATACCTAGTTCAGATTAGCCATGTCTTGGAGAACAACACATTACAGTTCTCATCTCAAAGCAAGGTCAACAGCACTGGGATTAGAAAGATAAATTCATCAAGCTAAGAACTGTTTTGATCCTCTCTCCATTTGGATTTTGTAAATATGTATCTGACTTAATTATCCTGTTCCAAAACCATACCTCTTTGGGCAATCAACTCATAGGAAAAATATGGACATTACATTTGAAAAAATACGTATGGTTTTTGTTTTAACAGTTTAAAGAGTTATGTAAGAAGATGCATTGAAATTACTGACTCGGACTGGAAAATCATTTTGATTGAACTGTTTTAAAAAAAATGCTTAGTAAGACAGTAAAAAGCATTCTGGTAATTCAACACATGAAAAAATGGGGAGGAAAAGCTGCAGTGACCAGCTTTGGAAATTCTGGCATAGATTAAATTAATGTGTCAACAGAAGCCAAGTCAACAGTGCGCTTAGCCCGCGCTGCAAGCTCCTGCTTTGTGAGTACACAGGTCTGGCCCACAACTTGAACCAGATAAGCTTGTTATGCAAATGCAGTTAGCCATCAGGAAGGAGGTAGATAATGAAATTACTCGAGGGCTAACCACTCATCACAAGGGTGACAGAAACATCAGGCAAGGTCCTAACATATGGATAAAAGGCAATATGGAATTTATACAATCACTGCTTTTAATTTATCATAACTAAGCTGTCGCAAGGCAGACATCAACAAATGCATAACTAATGCATATAAATGAGTCAATTATCAGTAATGGCTAAAAGGTTTGCAGTTGTTTGATCCAGTGTTTCATTATTTCCTTTTTTTTTTTTTCTGGAAAATTCACTAATGTTAATTTAAACTTTCATATAAATATTTCATAACGTTAGCACCATAAATTGAGTCTCACGTGCATAAGATGGAGCAATGTCACATTGAATCCTTTTGCAGCCTTTTCTTATAAGTAGCTACAAAACAGGTGAATTTATTGCAATTGTTACATTGCTTTGTGTTAAGAGACTGCCTATAAGTGTACTCCTTACTTCGTTGCATACGTAATCATAAAAATGAAAAACAAGATTTGAGAACCTGCAGATGTTGCTGGTGAGAGAAAGTAGTTATGTAAAAGTGATTAAAAATCAATTTGACTATAAATATATAATTTGAAGATATCAAAAACCCAAAGGACAAGATTAAAACCAAGTATAGCTACAAAATACTGATCTGACTTCTTTTATGAACAGTGCATGCTGGACTAAAGGAACATTAAGGAATATTAAACTTTTTTTTTTATATTGTTCTTAAGCTCAGCAAGGGCTTTTAAAAATAAAGATACCAAGAAAAAAACTGAATGATAATGCAGAAGCACAATGTTACTGAGAAAGGAATTTAATCTTCATGTTTACCAGGTGCTCTGACTCTCTAAAGTACAAGTGAAAGATAACCTACCAGTGACAGTGTTCCCCAATACTGTCCATAAATACCAGAAAACAAACTTTCTATATAACGGAATGGAATTCATTCACCACTCACCAGCTTCTAGAATTAACCATTGATTCTGATATGGATTATAATGTACACTTGTGTAAACCAGAAAATGTATTATGGAGAAACAGATCTTCCCTAAAAAAGGACATACTTCTACTGCCTACATTTAAGCAACGAGAGTAGTTGCCTTCATCTTTAGACTAACCAATACCAGCTGCCTTACCTTACGGCCTGCTTACACACTAGTGCAGTAAATATTTTTTTTTTTCATATATTATTTATAGAAATTGCATTTGCCTTTTTATTTCTAACTTCTCATGAAATCCAAAGATGCTATACAGCCTACTGAAAAACAATCACATTCAAGCAGGGATACTGTACTCCGGCAAAAGTAACTGTAGTTATGGAATACATTCAAAATGGACTTTTCCAGAGATTCAGACCATGTTCAAAAGGCAATACTGAGAAATAGGGTTCAAAGCATTTCATAATTTGAAACATTTAAATTTCACAGGGTTTTGATAAATATTATCCCCTGGATTACACAGTTTAGGCCATATTAGATCACAATAAAATCCTAATGAATGCTAAAAATCACTCATAAAATTTATTCAAGTTTTTTTGATGTAATGCTAATAACCAATAATTTTTGGTGAATATTGTGAGAAGAGACATACTTTAATGACAGTCACATTCAGTTGGTTGGATATATTACATATTAGCAAAGTAAGGTGGAAAAATACAACTATTTTTTCCTCTTTATTCTTCCTCTTTTAAATTGCTATTTAAAAATTCACAAGCAGTCATTTCCACTAAGGTGCTTTTCCTGTGACATGAAACTTCACTGCAAAGCCATCAAGTAAATCAGGTATATGAATAAACCTGCCCTGGGTCCATCAGAAGTCAAGAAGCTAATCAACTAAGGAGCTCAGAGAAGCTGTGAAGCAAACTACATGAAAAGATCAAACTGTGCAGTATTGGTTTCAGAAACTGAAGAAAGGTTTAGAGCTGTGAAAATAAAACTGAGAGTAAAATCTCTTGTATAAACAACTCCATTAAACAAATTCTGCTTTCAGTCAGTCACACGCAGTACATACTCAATAATCTGTTTTAAAGGAAAAAAAAAAACTCACTGTGAAATGAAATGGTTGAATCCTCTGCACCAATTTTCAGGATGTAGGAGAGTAGGAGGAGGATTTCTGAGAACAAGAACAAAAAAGTGCAGGGGGTTTAAATGTTTAACATTTACTGGAGTTCTTATAGTCAGTCAACAAACACGAAAGTGGTTGCACAGAAGAGAAAATGATGATGCAGAAAGCAATATCCAAAGATTTCATGTCCTTCAGAGGGCTATTGGGTTTTTCTTGCTGCTATTTTCTTAACTGACAATTCTGCTCTTTTCATGTGTTCCTCCTTTTATTCCAATGCCTTTGAAGTTGGCAGTCAGTACAACACACATGGTGGTTCCCAGCATTTTCCTGTCAACTCAGTGTGACTCGAGATCAGCTGAGAGCGGAAGACCAACCTAGTCATCACACCCTGTTAGCTGGTGGGCTAGACCACTGACTCTGACCGTGACTTTTTTAAGTATGGATATCTTCACAATAAGAATTACCACAGTCAACAACCCATGGGTTTTTCAGTCAGAATTTCAGTCTGTTCTCAGCCTGGATGACCTAAGGGTTTTGAGTTTTTACAGTATAAACTGAGCGCTACATGAACTATTAAAAATAGATGTTATTTTTAAAATGACACTTAATAAACAGTATTTTAATATCACATAATAAGAAGCTCATCCATATGACTTATCTTTTTAAACTGTAATATATTAGTTGGCATACAATTACTTTCCTTTCTGACTGCTAATGTTAAATTACATAAACAGAGCAAGGCATGTAGGTTATATCAAGTGGACTAAGTTTACGCGGTTCGAATTTAAGTGGATCTATCTATAGTAAGAAATGCTGATGAACTGCATATTGTATTGTTATCTTGTAGTGACTTCTTCAATATAACTTTTAGTAAGTACTGAGGTTCACTTAATTTAAGATTAAACATTTTTTTTCTTTAAAAGAACCTTATTATCTTGTATTTTTCTGCATTTTAGAGCTTTATGCAAAGGATCTCAGGTTACCGAACTGGCCAAAAACAATTGTGTATGATTTACTCTACCTCAGAAACCCTCATGAATCACTCACTCAAATCACAGTCACATTCCACAACAAGACACTGCTTGGAAACATCTCACAAATCAAAAAGGCAAACTGTATGAATGCAGTGTAAATTAGTGATAATCTTCTTAATATTCTCTAATTTTTCCATGCATATTAATTCAAAGAGTAGTCCTATTTAAACAACTGTCACCCTCAAAAATCAAAACAGTTTAAAAATGCTTATTTGTAATAGATGGGCCGTTTTTGATCATCTATATCCAAAACAAAGGCAGTCATCTAATTTCATTGCAGGTTGTCATGTTTTCTGAATTATGCTATTACTTTTCTCTTTTGTCATAAAAGATCCAGGAAGTGCAATTTTCTTCACAAAGTGAAGAAATCTAGAATGTTTGAGATGTGCACCAGTTGTCAAAGATATCATTAGCAGAAAATAGTACGGGTTATTTTCAGCAATAGTAATGTTTCAGCCCTGTCTTCCATTTACCAGGTTCGTATCTTCTTGCACATCACAGAATCTGTAGCTGTGCATGAGAATACAAAATACAAAATACATTGATGAACTTTGCAAACAGCTTTGAGAGACTCCTAACTGGG